AAACAAAATACTGCTTCTTTGCTTGCTGTTAAATTCCAGGTAAGCACAGAAACGTACGGTGAACCTTGGGATGCTTCAGGCATTCTCTAAACCAGGAGATCCAAGGGCTTGACACAGTCACATAGATATGCCTGAACAATCTGACAATGCCTCTCAGCCCAGCAAGCTTAGATCATTCTTCCTTCAGAGGCACTCAAAGGTATGTTTATTTTCTTCTGGTGAGGAGGCAAAAAATCTTTAGGCTCCAATATCCCAAACAACTGCCTACAAATGTTTGTCTGTTGAAAAATAAGAGGTGTGGCGTTTGTATTCTTTGCTGTCTCAGGTTTTAGTCCATTGGGAGTTAAACAACATCTATGCTTTCTTACATTTGCACATTCTGGAAAACTGTGCATTTTAACTGAGAAATGTTTTCTTTTTTCCCCCTGAAACTTTCTGCACCAAATCTGGCCCTTCCAGAAAAACGACTCTGACAATATCTGAGAAAAATTAACATCACAGAATCACAGAATCATTTAGGTCAGAAAAGACCTTTAAGATCATCAAGTCCAACCATTAATCTAGCACTGCCAGGTCCACCAGCAAACCATGTGCCTAAGCACCACATCCATACGTTCTTCAAATACCTCCAGGGATGGTGACTCCACCACTTCCCTGGGCAGCCTGTTCCAGTGTTTTATAACCCTTTCAGTGAAGAAATTTTTCCTACTGTCCAGTCTAAACCTCCCCACATCAGATTTAAAATAACATAGTCAGTTCCTGAATGATCTAATGACTGTGTACAGCCTCATCTCAAGCAGGAAGAACTGAGAAAGATAAATATTTTCTGATGAGACCTAGAGTTTACTAGGTAGATGAAGATCAATACCCCATGATCTGTCTGTTCCGGCTCTAGCTAGAGAGTTCCCACAAATATCAACACTTCCTGGTGCCATGACATTTAGTAACTTGTGGGATAGAAGTCTCAGATTCAACATGTGATGTTAAAGTGCTCTTATGGAATCCCCACAATAAATACCATGCTGCTTAGAATGGTGGACAGGCCTTGTCAATGCCTCTAGGATCATATGCAACTTCACAGCGGGACGATGTCACCACAAAACAAAAATTACTGTAGAGTGCAGAACAGTAAGCCTTCTTTAAATGCAACCCCACATCGACTTGTAGCAGCAACACTCTGCAACATAGCAGCCATGTTTTATTGCCTTAAGGCATGCAGTTCACCTTAACACCTCTGAGTGCTGTGTATTTGTTTTCAACAAAAACATGCTGCAAGGCTACACAAGTCTGTTATTTCAGCATCATCAATATCACTTTCTGTCTCACACCCTGAAGTTTGTCTAGTGAATGAGACACATTGTCTCGATTCACTGCTGTGTTTTTGTTTTTTTTTTTTTCACTGCTGTCAAGTGGTTGGACACCAGGCATGGCCTGTGGACTTGTTTTTTCCCTCTGGAGGTGCCAGATGAAATGTCAACTTTAAAACTAAACAAGCAGCAGTACTTGAGGCAGCAACAAGGACAGGGGAAGCACAGAGCTGATAGATGACAACACCAAAGACAAACTAGAGAGTAAGTGGAACAAATGAAAAAGTTTTACAAAACTGTTTTGTAAATACTAAGCCAACAATTTTTTCAAAGCTGAAGGAAAAATAGGTGACCACAGGGATATGAGAGAAGCTGAATAATGGGTGTTTAGAAGGGAGGCTATTAGCCAGATCAGCTTATTGGCTAATCTATGGATCTCACAGCTCTCTTCTGTGCATGAGCCATTGCAGGGACTTCAGCCTTATTGTAGGGTTTGAAATTGCCATCCACCATCTCAGCTGCAATAACTGCCAGGCAGCCACAGAGGAAGACACTTGGCTCTGAGCCACAGGGCTAACCCAACCTGTGCCACTGTAAACCCATCGTAGCCTGGGTGTCCAGGTCCTGACAGGCTAACTAAGCTGTGGACAGCCACAGGTTTCACCTCTGTAATGTGCCAAAATAATTGCATCAATAGTATGAGCCACCACAGCACCAGAAAAATGTTTTGTTAATACAATAGCTGCTGGCTTTAGTAGTCACATGTCAGCACAAGGACAGCAATTGGATTATGACAACAGCATTCTTTAGGGAGGTCTGCAACAGCTGTTCCACTAGTCACAATACCTAGTGCACATGACAAAAGCTGGAAAAATCATGTTAGGAACCTTTAAATGGGAAAAATCACAACTAACTGTCAATTAACTAAACTAACTACCTCTGAAGTAGCTATGTATCTATCTAGACTCCTCACAATGAAGAGAAAAAGGCATGCTTGGAGCCTGGCTCATCTCATCCTAACCTAGACACATACACAGGTCAGAGGTCTACAAAGGGAGCCATAGGAAGTATTTCAGGTGAAAGTAACCACTGCATAGGTATCTGAGAGCACGTTACAGCAACACCAGTGTGTCTCTGTTTTCTGTGGTAAGCATGAAAGCTAAGCACAGTACAGTTACTAACTAATACAACCATAACACAGATAAGAAATGAAAGAGCTCTGATTTGTAGTGGAAATTTATCTAAAGGGTGCCACTGCCCACAGAATGGGAGGGAATGTTGTGCCTTTATCCAAGTCTTCTGAGAAGGTTAAGTTCTCAGATATTCTAAGATCAGATAGCACAATCTGACTTCGGTGGAGCAAGAAATACATCATGTAGGTGTATGGATTATGGTTTAGCTTGCAAAGGTCTTGGAGCTACCATGTCTGAGGTTTCCTCTATCTTCCCTACTGCTCTGTTCTACATTTTTCATTATTCAAATAATTGCTTTAAAAAGCAAATAACAGTACTGCCTGAAAATATACTAAATATCTGCTCCTATGCAAAAAAATTATTTTTAGAGTGACTGCATCTTCCAGAAGCTGCTTCTTGTGGCTTTTTCTATTGGACATCTAAAACAATATGCACTGCGAGATAGGCAATAAATGACTTTGCATTAACAGCAACTTTTCATCAGGAGCTGACAATTTTATTCCCCCTTATCTTTTCTCTTGATATGCAGTTGCTTTCCCAGCCTACAAAACAAAGTCACTAAGGCCACGAGGTATTCCATTAAATATTCAAAACACGAGACTCAGTGTCAGAGACTTGACCCAAAACAGAACTTGCAGAATTGGTTTGCCAGCAGTGGATCCTCCCTCAAGTTCTTATACAGCTAATGGCAGGAAACTGTTCCTTTACCACATCTTCTAGATTCAGGCAGCAGAAGCTGAAGCCAGCAAGACAACAAATGTCTCAAACCTGACCAGTTCTCCTCTGCCGTTCACAGAACATCTGCACTCTTCTTGCATTCTTTTAATTTAGGCTTGTAATTGAAATAAATTGTTAAGTCTCTTTGGTGTCAGGCATAAACTTCAGGACTGTGAAAATGTGATACAAGAGAATTTGAATAAATAGGATAATGGCTAAGAGAACAGGTCATGAGAACAGTTCAGATGACAGCATGTTGCATAAAAACTCCTCCAGCCCAATATCCTATCTGCAGAAGCAACCATTAGAGCATGCTTGAGAAAGATTATAAGGAACATGGCAAATACAGTAATCCCTCCTCAAACAGTCAGTGAATTAGAGATCTTTAATTGTCACAGGGCTTAAGAGGATGAGTGAGAACAGGACTCCATGGTACAGAGGAAGCATAAAGGGTTGGGTGAGCTGCTGCTTTCTTGATAGCACATTTGGCTTCAGGCAAGATATCTCTGCTTAGCAAACCTAATACAAGTGTGACTCTGTAATGTGACAGTGTCCTGAATCTCATACAGTCCTACCTAGACAGACCTGCATCTCAATGAAGAATATAGATAGTGAGTTGGGAGAGTAGCACAGAAATGCTAATAGAGAGCAATCTGCACCACAGAGGCTATCAGAAAACTATGAAGATGCCACTTCTTTTGGAAAACTCATTAGCTAGCACTTCTCCCCCCTACTTGTCCCAATAGTCTACCATCCTCTTACAGTTAGACAGGATGCTTAACAACAAAAGAACCATGTACTGGGGCAGAGCAGAGACTAATTAGGCCCATAATCTGTCTCTGTCTGGCCAAAATCCTATAGTTCAAGGAAAAAATCAGGGTGATTATGGAGCATCCGTCCATATGGTACTGCCCTCCCAACATTTTCTTATTAAAGTTGTAGTGACTTCCACAGTCAAGTATGCAGCTGGACCAACAAGTTCAACAGATATTCTTAGACTTGGTCTCCCTCAATCGGTCTAATCCTTTTTAGGGCAACGAGCTCATTTGACTCGGTTCCACAAACACACAAGCCGATAAAAATTAACACAGAAGACATTTCTCCATGAGAAATGAAGAAGATGGTGTTGTGTACCCGTCTTCCATACAAGGAAATGCTATGCTAAGCAAGAAGAAAGTCAGCCGCCGAGGAATAATGACAACTATCACTTCAGTATACAACTGTCCCAGGGAGCGGCAAACTGTCACTCTCCTCTGTGGGGAATCCTGGCTTACACCCCTGGTCTGGAGGACATTCAAAGAGCGATGGAAGAGCATGGAAGAACTTGAAAGCAACCTGTAATCTCAGGGTACCATAGGCGTTAATTAACCTGGCAGTCATCCAGACTGCTGGCTTCAAAATCCGCTTATCTGGGAGCTGCACATTTCAGCATTC